ATCTTTTGCTTACCCCGGAACACTGCCCCGGCTCAGGCAATCCATCTGGCAAGAACAGCCAGTCATATTTCAGGCTAAAGTGGTTCCTAGGCAACCAAAGATAGAGAGCCACAGATCGTGGAAAGAAACCTGGCGATGGGGACAGGGTGGCCCGCTGACCTGGATGGAAGGTTCTCCCACAGCAGCTCAGTCAACATCCCAGTCCCAGCTGCTCACCTAGCCTGAACCAGTGCCTTGTCCCAGTGCCTCAGCAGGGAGGGGGGGCACTCCCTGTTGGACAAGGGGTAGCTACAAGGTCTCAGAACATCGGGCCCTGGGCTTGCCTTAGAGAAAGCCTGCAGGTGAGTCAAAAAGAAGGGAGTGAGGGGCCAGGATCTCTCTAGAACAGACACCTGGCTATATGCAGGTCACAGCAGTGATAGCTGAGGAATGAGTACCTGCTATGGACTCAGTGGCTGTGTAAGAGGAACAGTGAGGAACAACCTCCAGGCCAGTGGGTAGTGCTCATTGCCAACTCAATGGTAGAAGATGGAGCTTTCTGGACTCCACCCCCGAGGTGGGGGGGCTAATGGTAAATAAGGACAGCGCTGAGGCTTTTTACCAATGAAACTTCAGGGGCAATGGAACAGTTAGATTGCTGGCTTTTTGCAGATGAATTATTGGTACTTTGGCAATTGTATACAGCTGGGGTTTTGGCAGTTAAGCCACTGGTGAGGAGGGGTGTGTGTGCAGAAGCTGCCTCTTACCATGTGCGGTTTCGGTTTGGACCTTGGTCTCTGCTCAGCAGATGCTATCCGGGGCAGGACAGACTGTCTCTGGCCATGTGCCAGCCTGTAAATATCTCTCTTTTTCTCACTCCCTGTGTAAATAAGTCCTCTTATTGTTGTTTCACACTGTGTCTGGTTTTTGGTTGTCCTGTAGTCTTAACTGTGGATGGGTCAGGCCCCTGGGTTGGCTTGGTTTCAGCTGTGCCCCTCACCCCAGATTTACACACTAAAACTCTAATCCCCACTGTGATGGTATTAGGAGGGGGGCCTTTGAGAGGTAATTAGGTCCCGAAGGTAGAGCCCTCTCCTATAAGAAGAGACAGGAAAAAGCTTTCTCTCTTCCTCTCTTTCTCCCCCATGTGAGGACATTGCAAGAAGGGGGTCACCTGTAGATTAGGAAGTGATTTTTTCACCAAAAATCAGATCTGCCAGCACCTTGATCTCGGACATCTCAGCTGTGGGAAACAACTGTCTATTGCTTAAGCCCCCCAGTCTGGGTATTACTGTAACAAACTGATTCAGACAGCAGCCAGGAGGTTCCTTTGGGACTCAGGCAACTGCTCTTCTACAGATAACTCTGCAGCTTGTTCAGTTTTAGAGGGGAAAAAAACTACTAATTTTGCCCAGAGATATTATCAAAGTGATATCCTTTTTCAGGAACTCTGACGTTGTCTGCAGCTCCTTAAGTGACAGGAACACCATCTTTGGATTGTTGCAGATATGGCACCTCACCCCTGAGAAACCCTATAAAGCAAGTGGGGTAAAAACAGTCACCAGACTGTCCCAACAGCTCCCAAACCGGAGGAGAGGTAGGGGAGGGTGGGAAGAACCACATACCCCACAGTCTAATCTGTGATGGCAGATTTGGGGAATGTACCAGCCCCCAGAGAACCACTCATCCTAGGGGCTAATGCCAAAGATTTCCCCCTAGTCCTGGTCTTGCAGCTACAATTCTGAGTCCACCTGCTTTTCAAGTCCCAGACCAAAGGCAGCGGCTCCGCCCCAAATGTGCTCCCAATTCAATGTCCTGGTCATTGCCAATTTCAGACCTTTCTCTCAGTCACTGGTTGGAATGTCCCCAACTTTGCATTTGCCACTGTTGTCAAGCTTCTCCTACCTCCCCCATCATCAGGGTCTCCAGCTTCATCCTTCTTCACGTCTCTCCATTCATCCTGGCCCTTCTTCCATGCTGAGCCTCACAGTCCATGGTGGCAGAGGTCTCCCTATTTACAATTTGTCTTTTAAAGCTGAAGACGTGAGGAGTGCCACAGAGGGCGCTAACAGCCCAGCTGCCTGTCAGTGGAGGCTGTGGGTCTGGGAGAAGCTGAGGGAGCCAAGGGAATGGGTCTCGAACGACACAAAGGGAAAAGTACTTAATGTTACTTGGCTTAGCAGAAGCTGAGCCACAGAGGATGCTGGGAAGGCAGGAAGAGCAGGTCTAATCAATAGGCACAGAGCACGCCCACCCAGCCTCTTCCTGTGTGCACAGCCCACCTATCGGTGCAGACGAGTATGAGTTTTCTGCAAGAGAACTCGCTCCCTGCCACCCTTTCTCTATTTGGAACAATGGTTTCTGTTGTTCTCAGAACTTCACCCTAGGCCAGAAAAGGCAGGCAGCTGGAAGTGGTTCCTCGTGGCCCAGGATGAAGACCTGGCCGGCTCAAGGCTTCTCATAGCTTTTGTCTACAAATCACTGGTTTTAAATGGAGCTTCTGAGCCAGTCAGTCTGGGGCCTGAGATCTTGCATTTCTAGCAAGCCCTTAGGGGAAGCTGCTGAAAGGGGACCTCCCTGAGGGGTAGAAGGGGCATGTCCACGCCTGAACCGCCATCCCCTGTCCTAGGTCCCCAGGTCCCACATGCCTTCCAGCTCCTCCAGCTGCTAGACTTCTATTCCCCACAGGGGAGATACAGGATCTCCATCTCCCTGCCTCCTTATCTCAGTAAGCTCCTGTGCAGGATGAAGCCAGCAGCCTTGGCTACAAAAGCTGCCCCAGGGATCCCAAGCCTGAAATCTGAAGAAGTCCTAAAACTAAAAAATCTCCCGCAGACACTTCTGAATCCTGCCCACCTTCTAGCTTTCAGTTTTTCTCTTCCCAAGGCCCTCCCTGAGCCCCTGGGGAAAGGCAGGCATGTCCGCTTTTGATTCCAGTGGGCTGTACCCCAGCACACATGTGCACCCTGAGCTCATCTCCAGCCTTGCTGCCCTGACAGCATCCTCTTCCCAACAGTTTTGTGCCATGGACCACGCATAGTATCCATGTGCACGTGTTCTCAGGTGCATGGAAATACACAGAATCACAAAAGACTTGCGCCATGTAGAAAGAGGTTCTCTTAATAGAAATTTTCAAATCCTCTAGACAGGAAATGAACAAATCTGTTATAGCCCATCAAGTCCCAACAATCCAGAAGCGGAGATGGAATTTCAGAGAACGGTTGCTAGGAAGGGCACCTGCCCCGAACAGTTCTCTCCATTTTTGAAAATGGAAAATGTTAGGGATGGAACGTGGACTTTGTGAATGAGTAAGTCTGCAACCCTAAAGATCTATGTGTAGGAACATTTCGGAAGTGGTAGTTCCAGGGAGAGAAGCCTCTGACTGGGGCATTCGGACCAACCCAGTGGTGCAATATTAGACAAGCCACTGGCATCACAACGTGACCCTTCAGCCTGAAGTTTTATTTAAACGCGAGAACCGACTGCATAGGGCTGAGCCCTGGCAGCTTGCATCAGACAGCACCTCTCCAAACTCACGTCACAACTTGGCGAGAGGTGGAGAGTGGGGGGCTTGGAGAGCTGAATCTCCAATTGCCCAAAAACACAGTCTCCCACATTAGGCAGGTTGACAGGTTGGAGGCAGGACAGCAAGCCAACTAGTGCCAAGCTCTGATGAACTGACTTCCAGCTCACAGACTTAGAAAATGGGTTAAAACTGTTCTTTTCCGCTCGGGCTTGCATCCTTCATGGAGTCCATGTGTTCACACACCGAACAATACTACTACACGTGAACAAAAACGGGGCAGGCGGGGTGCGAGGCTCACGTCACCACAGATAAAATCCTCAACCACGCCCGCCGCGTCTCCATTGTAAGATGGTGCTTTCTCCCGCTCCAGGGGTGACGACAAATGATTGGGGCACACCTGCTCCTAAGTGTGGTTTGCTGCCACAGAGTAGGAGGCTGGACAGCCCGAGGCTCAGCCTCAAATTACATCAGCGCCTCATTGAAGCCCAGCGCGGGGATGAGGGAGGAAGCCCCACATGGCACCCCAGCCCTACTACAGCGCGCAGACCAATCCCTGGGAGCGTGTAATCTACACATCAGTGACTCATGAACCTGCCACATTACCACCCCCACCCCAAATCCCCGGAAAATACTCTTCTCAGAAACATTCTTCTCTTTGGGAAGGAGAGCAGGTAAGGCTGGGATGTGGGGGCGCAGGCTGGACGCAAGCCCGACTTACTGAAATACGATCCGGCAGCCAGATCTATTCAATAAGTCCCATCCCCCAAAACAAGCCTGGGGAGGTAATGCAGACCACCATCCAGAAATGGCCATTCTAACAAACACCCATCCGGGATAAAGGCCACTTCGGGAGCTCATTAGCTCTGTGGTTTAGAGAAAAGATCCAATTCCTGGATCAATGCTTAGCCCCATCCTGTGTGGACCAACGGACCTGGACAAGAGGGTTCGGCTGGTTTTACTAATAGCGAGAGGCCCTGCTGGCCGGGGCTCAGCAGGGAGTATATGGACACTCACACTGACCAGACCCAGCGTCCACCAGCAACGCTCCGCGCCATCTGCCAGGACATGCCGGGCTCTGCCCCCCAACTGCTGTCTCCATGGGCGCCAAGCTGCCACTCTAGGGCTCTTCTCGAGAGGCCGCTGTTGATGCCTGGCCCTTGCAGGAAATACCACTGTGCCAGGGGGTGCAGAGTTAAGATGCTGAAGGCAGGTGAAGCCCGCAACAACCATGCACCAGGTTGCTGAGCCATTGAAACCGAATTCTTTGCAGGGGGTCCTTTCTGCCCTGGACAGTATTATCCTACGACTCCAGGTGTTCATTCCAGAGGGGCCCTGCGATGCTAGAAGCAGCAGCCACCAGGTAAAGCATGCAAGGCTGCCCACCTCCCCAGGCCAGCCCTGGTGCCAGGCTGCACGGGCATCCGGAGAGGCCACACTAACAAAGCCCGCGGCCCTCCTCCTCCGGGGGCTCCGGGCTGCCCCGCGGCGCACTTACATGGCCTCGGAAGCCTCCAGGCTCAGGTCGCTGGCGGGGACTGGCTGCAGGGACTGCGACCCTCCCATCCTCGCTGCGCCCGGGCGAGCCGCCTAGCCGCGAGCCGGGCCAGCGTCCTGGCGCGATTCCTCCCGCGGGCGCCCGGGGCGGGCCGGCCGGCGGCCGGGGCTGCTGCACTGCGGAGGGGCGCCGCTGCGGGCATCCGTGGCGGCGGCGCGGGGACTGGGGCTCGCGGCCCGAGCCGGGGCCCGGGGCGCGCGCGCGCGCGGCGTGGGCGCGCGTGGAGCCGGCGCGCGCGGGGGGAGCGCAGGCGGGCGCGGCGCGGTCCCAGCGGCGCTTCTCTTCGCTCAAAGCCCCCGGCAGCCCGGCCCCCGGGTGCTCCGCGGTGATGTCATCGCCGCCGAGCAGCCCCGCGCCCCGCTCCACAAAGCTCCGCGCCGGCTCCGGAAACCCGGCGGGGAGGGCGCGCTAAGACCCTCCCTCCGCCGCCCGCCGCCGCCCCCAGCCGCGCCCAGGCCGCCCGCATTGTGCGGCTGCGAGATGCAAATGCACTGCGGGAGGGGGGCCCCGCCCGGGAGGGGGGCGCACGGGGTCTCCGAGGTGCTGACCGAGGAGGGAGTGGGGTCTGCGCAGCGCGCCTGGCTCTGCCCCTCCAGGAGGAGGAGAATGGGCTCCCCCGCCCGCCCGGGTCAGGGGAACGGGGCGCGTCTCTCCGCTGTCCACCTCTGCCTCCCTCAGGCCGCGCGCCAAGCCCTGGAGCAGGCCCAGCCCTGTACCGGGGAGATGCCACGACCGACCTCGTGCCCCCGACTGCCAGCCAGGCGGCCAGCAAGGCCCTGCTGCCCACACAATGGGGCCGGGGATGGGACTAGCCGGGAAAGACGCCCAGGCCCGGCTACCAGGTCTGCAACACCATCTCTGGCCACTAGATGAGTTTTCCAGAAGCCCTGTGCGGGGTGTTCACCCTAAACACAGAGGCCAGGCAGACCGAGAGCCGCTGTCGGGTTCCCAGGTCACCTCCAGGTGTACAGGGAAAAGGCAGCTTGTGGGACACGCCATCAAGAGCCCAGCTCCATGGTTCTGAACACTGGGGGGGCCTGGAGGAATTTGCATGCACCCCCCTCCCCGCTGGATGCTGGTTCCCTGAAGGGCACCAAGCCGGACAGCTGGGTCCCCACCTGACCTCTGGCTGGCTCAGAAATCTGCTCCCCACTCTGTCTCTGGTGAATCCTCTCACACCCCACCCCCACACCTCTGGCCTGTACCCCAGTTCTCAGATGCATAAATAAAATAAATCTTTAAAAAAGAAAGGAAAGAAAGAAAGAAAGACACCCTTAGGGCTCCTGGCCTTCTCACTGATTTCATCTCCTTACAGGTTCAAGAGGTTTGGGGGCACACCTGGGAACCCAGCCACCCGCTCCTGTTCCCCAGACACTGCAGCTACAGCGGAAGCTCCAAACTGGCTCGTGTCTGCATTAAAGTGTGAAGACAGCGTGTGAGGGGCAAGCTGAAGACGCTGCCACAGTTCCCCAGGGCTGCTTTACCCTGCAGTGCAGGAAGCCTACGAGGCATCGCAAGTGTAGACAAAGGGCAAATAAAATAAAAACAAAACAGCTCAAAACATGTTGAAATGTCCTCCGATGTTCCGAGTCTTTCCTAAAAGCTGTGGCCAGGACGGGGGACGGGCGCTCGGGGGCTGTGGCTCTCCACACCAGGACAGTCCTAGAGCCTCCTGGGGCTGACGTCTCCTATCCGTGTCAAACAAGGTCAGAAAATCAAAACTCTCTCCCAGGGTCTCTACCACATGAGGCTTCTAGGACATAGGATGTTTCCTTCTGCATTTGAAAGCTATGAAAATAGCTCATGCTGGTGTCAGTCTCACAGGGAAGGTGATGTCAGGAGCTGGCCCCAGAGGCCTGCTCGGAAGCGCCCTTGGGGAGCCATCACTCACTGCCAACCTGGGTGCCTCCTGTCTCTGGGCACCGGCTCCTGGGGTTTGTCGGAAAGCAGCCCCCTGGGGCCCCTCTGTGATTAGGAGCCCAAGGAGTCCCATGTACCCACGGAGCTGAAAAATTCTTAATTTTTGGGGGAAAGAGACCCCTTCCCTGGGTCCGGGGATGGCCTGCAGCCAAGCGTGACACTAGGAATGTGGATGGGAACAAAATGAGGACCCACCCTTAGCGGGCAGGGGGTGTAGCCCCAGGGAAGGCTCTGCAGTGGGACCGGGAGCCTAATTGGTGTTTAAGCAGCACTGATTTTCTCTCCTCCTTCTCCAGAGGCTTTCCCCCCAAGGACGGGACTGTCAAGGAAGCCAGGAGGTGGTACAGGAAGTACTTGCACTTAGAATGCCAACGAGCAACAATTTAGGGCCAGTGATGGCGGGGCACCATCTCACCGGTGTTGAGGTGACCAAGAAAGAACACAGGAGACAGACCATCTGAGAACCTGGGCGGTGATGGAAAGACGATCCACACGTGGCAGGTGTGGGGCATCTGCTGATGCAAGACCCCGCCCCCCACGCAGACCTCAGGGTTCTTGCTTTACACACAACTCCAATAAACCTGGTTATCTAGAAATTCAGCCACAGAAAAGGGAAAGCTAAAAACGTGGGGAGGCAGGCTGGCTGGGGCAGGAGGGCTGAGCTAGGGACTGAATCCCCAGGGCTCCGTTACTGAGGCCAACGGGGCCTGAACACTGATGAGCAACAAGATTAGAGACCAGAGCCTCCCCCGGGGCGCAGCGGGTTGAGCGCAGTGCTGTGAAGCTGTCCACAGCCTCTGCAGCGCGGGTTCTATTCCCAGCAGCTGGCCAGGGAGATACCCACATGGTGCGGCAGACCTCTCCTGCCTCGCCCGCTGCTCCCCTCAGCAGTGTTTTCTGTCGTCTGCCTATTCTGTTCCTCGCTCTGTCTCTGGTGAATCCTCTCACCCCCCGCACCGCTGGCCTGTACCCCAGCTCTTGCATAAATAAATAAATCTAAAAAAAAAAAGATTAGAGACCGTGTTCCCGTGACTTACTGCAGCACGCGTTGGAATTGCTCTATTTCATTATTATGGTGGTTAATTTAACCTGCATTGTTCCTACTTTATAAATTAAACTTTATTATCCCGGAGGATGTAGGTATGGACAGGAAGAAACATGGTGGGTATGTAGGTAGGAGGGTAGGTAGATAGACAGACAGATAGGGTTTTTGTACTATGCAAGGGTTTAGGCATTCATGGGGGTCTTGGCATGTATCCCCCCAGATAAGGAGGGGCTGCTGTAATTAGGGTTACATTAGGTCACAAGATTCCCTCACACTGGGCATCAGCCCTTATAATAAGAGACACACAGCCCGGCCCCCTCCCCTGCCTGTGAGCACACAGGAGGGGGCCATCAGCAGGCCAGGAATAAGGCCTCCTCTGGGAACCCAGCCAGGCCGGCCACCCAGCGTGCAGATCTCCAGCTTCTAGAGTGTGAGAAAGAGTTTGTCGTCTGAGCCCCCAGTCTACCGTGTATTTGTTACAGCAGCTGGAGCTGACCAAGCCAGGCTGCGAAAAGGGGAAAGACAGGAAACTAGCCACATCAGACCGAGAACGCCCCAGACAACAGCAGCCCCCCCGCCACCCCAACACACTGCTAATTAGCCCAGCACACATGCGCAAGGAAAGTAGGTCAAATCAGACACCTCCATCGCAGGCTCTAAGACTGGGAGGCGGCGGGAGCACAGGGCCTGGGTGGCGTCCTGCTTCTCCAAGCCGCCGGACTCGAGGACCACGAAGCACACCCTGAGGATGACTGTGGGCAGGGAGGGCGGCAACCATCCCACCTGCTCTTTGGGGCGTCCCTGTGGGCCCTGGTGGTGTTATCACCACACGCTGCACACCTGGCCCTCCTCTGAGGAAGTCCAGCCCCACTAAGTCACACACCGCGTCACACACCCTGCGTGGCACGGCCTGAACAGCCCCACGCTGAGGCAGGCTCACTGCCCACCCTCATCCCCTGCGAGCCGGGAGCTCTCTTGTTGGTCCCAGCTCAGCAGCCACACGTGACAGGAGCCGAGAACAGCAAAGCCGACCGGCCAGGGACTGGCTGCCAGCGAGGGCGGGGGTGGGGCTGGCACTGTCTCCACCCCGGCCTCACAGCCAGATCCTCTTCATGACCCTCAACCTTGCTGCCGAAGCTCCAAAAGTTGCCTGCTGTCTTCCAGGACATTCTCGGCTCCCTGGGCTGGCCTTGATGGTGTCACCTGCTCCATCCTACATTCCAGTAGGACTAGGGTCTCGCTGTCCCCTCACTGCCCTTCTCCAACCTCGCCAGTGCTCTCAGTTCCTCCCTGAACCAAGCACCTGCCCCACTGGCTCCGGAAAGGGGTCAGCAGGCTTCTCCCTGCTCTGCCCACTGTTTGGGGAGCTGACATCAGGGGTTTCCTGCTCTCCCTCCCATGTTACAGCTTCACTTTCCCTCGAGTCTTGTCTGGTATCTCTGCCCTCCAGCATGCACGTGCCCTCCACGCAGCCTGGGCTCTGAGACAAAGAGAAAGGGCAAGGCTTGCTGGGATCCCCCATCTAGGCCACAGGTGCTCTGTTCTTTCCTCTGACACCCCACTGCTCACCCTGGGATGGCTGAGGGGGTCTCGTGGGCAAAGGACAAACTCAGACAGAATCCCATCTTTTCCAGAAGATTCTCTTGCTCTCTCCTTGGAAATGGTAGTCTATGTCTTCCTCACCATGTTTATATGAGCTCTTTCAAGTTCCTCCCAATCAAAGACAGACCAAAGGCTGCTTTTCATGCAAAAAAAAAAAAAAAAAAAAAAAAAAATCCTTTCTAGCCTGTTATGATAGAAGATGAAAGTTGAGGATTTTAATTTAGACCCAGGAAGTCCGCCCAAAATGTGCTAGAGAAGAAGTTAGTAAAGAGAGATGAGATTCACTTTGATTTTAAAATTAAGAATTCAGGATACATTTTTAATCTGGGATGGGAGGGAGGGAGGGAGAGAGACAAAGGGAGGTTCTGAAAGTGCCAGAACCTCCCAAAAGTGAGTGTTGAGAAATCTCATCACACATGAAAAAGAAATCAGTAACAGAAACATCATGTTCAAGAGTA